GGCGCGCCTCCCGGACGGGTTCTCGGCTGACGGGCGGGGAAATCTCGCGCTAAACCTGTTAACTGCTCTGACGGCAGCGGTTCCTCAGTGTGTGATTCGCTGACGGGGTCTCACATCGCCGAGGGCGACGGCGTGGTCTGATGTGAAATGCCCACACCTGTTTCACCGTGAAACCATTTAAACGTGTGTTTTCCGGAGCTTTCTTTATTTATTGGGACACATTTGGGAATGTTTAACGAATCCTGCCGCGGAAGCAGGGGAATCGAGGAAGACGTTCTGTGTGCGGTAGGATGTCTCAGAAATCAGACCGAACTGACATTTTCCTGTTAGTGCAGATTTAAGGACGGGAGCATCTGGTATTTTTTAAGCTTGCGACTCAATGGAAGTGATATTTGCTGGTCTACTTTCTTAGGGAATTCACATGAGTAAGTTCAGAGACATAAATGCTTTATGTTTGTTTGTCCCTCTTATAAGCCATAGTGTAAGTTATTTACGACTAGAGGCCTGTGCATGAAATTCCTGCATCTGGGGTGGGGGGGCGGTGGTCCCCTCAGCCTGGATTGTGAGAGGGTGCAGGCCGGGCCGAGGGACCCCACTGGTGCACGATTGGGGCCAGAGAGGAACAAGGGAGGAGCCGTGGGAGGGCTCCAGGGCGTGTCCGGCCTGTCTCCCTCAGTCGCAATCGGCCGGACCCCAGCAGCAAGCTAAACTACCAGTCGAAGCGTCTGCCCCCTGGTGGTCAGTGCGCGTCATAGCAAGTGGTTGAGCGGCTGTAGGATATCATTAGCATATGACGCTCTGATTGGTTGAACAGAAGACCGGACACTGGCTAGGCGAGAACAGTTTTACGGTCACCTTTATAAAAGTCTGGTGAAAAGGTCACTGGGCTGCTTCTCTGCGTGTTTTTAAAACCAGGAAAGACAGACAACACCCAGGCCCTTTGCTAAACCCGGTTGTGGGCCTGACCAGGAAGCAGGCTGGCGTGCTGGGCGGGAGCGAGTCTGACTGACTAATACTTCCCCTGGGCACCTCAGGGTGGGGGGTTCGGGAGGGAGGGCTGGATGGGGGATTATGGGATTAGATGAGTCACTGAGTGAGCGGGGAGGGGAGGGAGCGGCTGGATGAAGAGCCGGTTCCCACTGCAGAGGGTCAGAGGGAAGGGAGGAGGAGCAGAGGGGAGAGGAGCAGAGGGGGGAGGAGCAGAGGGGGAGGGGGAAGAACAGAGGGAGGAAGGGGAGGGGAGAGGAGCAGAGGGAGGGGGAAGAGCAGAGGGAGGAAGGGCAGAAGGTCCTAGCGTAGAATTGGTGCCTAGGACGATGCTCAACCCACTGAGCCACACCAGCCAGGGCTACTGAGCTATTTTACAAAGAAAAGAGCTTATAGAAAGATGGAAAAGTAGAGACACCACCTATTTCCTACATATTTTTTTTTTTTATCACACGGACACTTTAATGAGACAAGCTCACGATTAAAACATTAATTATGAGTGTGCTCTCACTTTCCTCGGCCGTCCCGTGAGATTTAGCGTTGGGTGGGACACATCCCTCACTGAGTAATAAATAAGCTCCCGGCATCGAAGCAGGTGGTACTCATGTCCGCGGGAGGGAGTCTGACCCCGTGACGCCTCCCCGGCAGCTCCTCACAGCATCCATCCCTCCTCCTCCTCCTCCTCCTCCCCCCGCCGCCCCCAGGTGCTGCCTCCCTCCCCGCGGCTCTCCACGCCTCCTAACACCAGCTCTTGGTTTTAACTCTCTCCGAGGAGTGAGGATGTTTTCCCATCGATTTTGAGAGAAAGAAACATGGACACGAGAGAGACACATCAACTAGCGGCCACCTGCCCCCAAGCCAACAGGGACCAGGATCGAACCTGCAACGGGGTCCACGGCTGGAGCTCTGACCACTGAGCGAACTGGCCCGACTGGACCCAAGCTTTTCATCACAGCAATGTCATAGATTCAGTTCATTCTTTCCCTCGATCGAACCAGACCTGCACCTTCTGTGTGGTTTTTACTTTTATGAATTATTGCTCCACCTTCTAGTCCCTCCCTGATTTGACCACCCTGGCTTCCCAATCATTTCGACACTATTTTACTAAGGACTTAAAACTCCCCGGCTCCTTAGCCTTCTGCAATATCTGATCAATACTAGAGACCCGGTGCATGAGGTTCATGTCCCTCAGCCCAGCCTGCACCCTCTCCGGTCTGGCACCCCGCGGGGGATGACCGGCAGTCAGACGTCCCTCTCACGGTCTGGGACTGCTGGCTCCTAACCACTCGCCTGCCTGCCAGCCTGGTCGCCCCCAACTGCCCTCCCCTACAGGCCTGGTCGCCCCCAATTGCCTTCCCCTGCTGGTCATCTTGTGACAGTGTGGGGGCAGCCATCTTGTGACGACATGGGGCGGACATCTTGTGAGGGCGTGAGAGTCAATTTGCATGTTACCTCTTTATTATATAGGATGCACAATCTCAGATATATTCTTTCTCTACGTAGCTCAGCTATAAAACATTGCTATGAGTTCAAAGAAGTAATTAAGCCATCAATACGCAACTAACATCAATTACTACAATTAAAAAATAACAGCAGAATTTTCTGTTCCTCTCAGCAATCCTATTTCATCTGTGGCAATGAGCTGGGTTATTAGTTTAGGAACACAGACAGGCTTTGTTCTGCTTCAGAAACAAGTAATTCCAAATCCTCATTGGCTTAAAAAAATGTTAGTTCCTGTGGGAGGAGGGCTTGGCTGCCCGACGAGGCCCCGCCCCTGGGGCCTCCCTCCCAGAGGGGCCTGGTCCTGGGACGGGAGGGAGGGGGAGAGGGGGAGAGGGAGAGGGGGAGGGGGAGAGGGGGAGGGGGAGAGGGGGAGGGGGAGGGGGAGAGGGGGAGGGGGAGAGGGGGAGGGGGAGAGGGGGAGGGGGAGAGGGAGAGGGGGAGAGGGGGAGGGGGAGAGGGGGAGGGGGAGAGGGGGAGGGGGAGAGGGGGAGGGGGAGAGGGAGAGGGGGAGAGGGAGAGGGAGAAGGGGAGGGAGAAGGGGAGGGGGAGGGAGAGAGAGGGAGAGGGAGGGGAAGGGAGGAGAGGGAGGGGAAGGGGGAGGGAAAGGGAGAGGGAGAGAGGGAGGGGGAGGGCAGGGGGAGGGGGAGGCCGGGGCGGACGGGGTGACGGGGAGGAGACATGAAAACGGGAGGGGAGGGCAGTGAGAGGTCTGGGGGGGCGGCCGGGCAGCATCCAGGCAGGTGGCTCCGGTGCAGCCGGACGCCGGGTCCTGGGAGGCGAGGAGGCTGGTTTGGCTCCGGAGGCCCGCGGTCTGCGGGGACGGTATGACGGCGCTGAGACCGCCCGGGTCACAGGGGCCAGGGCGTGGGCAGGGACGGGCCTTCGTCCGCTTATTTAACGACCTTCAGACGCCGGAGTGATCTTACTCAAAGTCACGGACCTGGCCTTGGCTGCGCCTCCCCATCGGCCACGGCCCCAGGAATGCGGCTTCACAGCCCTGCGTGTTTCTGCCTAAAGGCTCCGTGTCTTCTGACAGAAACTCGCCCTGAAGCGCCCCTCCCCGTTCGTCCACGCGGTGGGAGGTGACCGCGTGTCCTCGGGATGGGGATGGACGCGTGGGAGGCACTCAGTCCGTCCATCGCCATGAGGGGTAAAGGGACACGTTTTTACTTAAGAATAAACCGACTAAATAAATCCGAAACGTCAGAACGGAGGGTAAGCACAGATTGTTCGCAACACAGAGGAGAGGTCCGAGGTGGCCCCACGACCCCTCCCACCACGCCCACCGCGCCCGACGCCACGCCTCACCCCGACACGAGCTCATGCTCTCGGGGCGGAAAGCACACGTGTGTAATTCACACGGAACGCGTGTCTCGCAGTTGGAAGCCAAGCTGAGGGTGCGTGTGACCCGCCTGCTGAGTCGCCCTGCATCCCGGCTTCTCCCCGGGGCGGCCTGCCCGGGGACGAGAGGATCGAAGGGAACAGGACCGTCCTCTCCGCCCAGGGCCTGCCCAGCCGCCCTCCCACGAGGAGAATGGCGCTCAGACCGACTCATCGGTGGACAGGCCTGGCCAGACCATGGGGCCTGGGGTGAAGTGTTCACCCGCGGGCTGAAGGGTCCCAGGTTCAATTCCCGGCCGGGGCACAGGCCCAGGGAGCAGGCTCCCTCCTGGGGGGGGGGAGGAGGGGTGCGTGCAGGGGCCGCCGATCAGTGATGCTCTCTCATCACGATCTCTCTCTCTCTCTCTCTGAAATCAATAAAAATACATTTAAAAAGGCAGGTAGGTCTGCGTATGGTGGAGATCACAGGGTAGGGAAGCATATTAATTCTTAATTACACGTTGTTTTTGGATCTGTGATCCGGAGCGAGTTGGACTGGACGCGGCCACTACCCGAGTCTTTGTCTGACGTGTCCGATGGTGAGTCAGGGCCCCGTCCCGGTGGCTGCGCCCGCAGCCCGGGGGTGAGCAGGGGGGTCCCCGGCCCGGCGTGGCCCCGTGTGACACCCAATCACACCCAGATCCGGAGCCCACGTCTGTTCTCCCCCCGCCTGAGGTCACCCCGGGCCAGGAGGGAGCCGGAGGGGGCGCACTGGGGACACAGAGGGCTGTGGGCGCCTCACTCTGGGCCCAGGCGCTGTCCTCGGCTTCTCGGCGACGGTAACTGATGGTCCAGCACCAGGCGTCCGCCCCCGCCGTGATGGGGGAGGGGCTGCGCGAGTGCAGACGACAGACAGGAGCAGAGACCGAGTCCAGCGCAGTAACCGCACTGACTGCACGGGGTCAAGGTCCAGTCAAGGTGCAGGGGGCGTCTCCGATCCCTCCGCCGGCCACAGCCCCTCCGTGTGCCCTTCACTCTCCACCTGCTTGGACAGAGCCACGAGGGGCGTCCCCGCCTGAGGTACCTGCAGTCCGGGCAGGACTCTGTCAGACTCATCAGCCGTCCCCGCCCTCCCCTCACCCCCCCCCCGTCCCCTGCTCCCCCCTCCCCCCCAGCTAGACCCCACAGGCCTAGACGTAGCTGGTGAAGGGCTTCTGGGGGGCGGCCGGGGCCCCGTGTGGCCCCCCGTGAGGCCCCCCACGTGGCGGCCGGTCCCGGGGGGCCGGGCACGGGGGCCCCCGCTTCCTCCAGCTGCAGCAGCAGGACCCGCAGAGCAGGCCGCCCCCGGCCAGGAGCACCGCGGCGCTGGCCCAGCCCACGAACAGCGCGGCCCCCAGCTCCCGCTTCCGGCCCACGTGCACCGCGGGGTCGTGGAAGTCCCGGATGACGCGGTGGGCCGTCCAGGACACGGGGACGAGGACCAGGAGGCCGGCGAGGAGCAGCAGCGCCCCGGCCGCCCCCGCCAGGCACGCCCGGGCCCTGGGGCCGGAGCCCGCGCACCGGACCTGCCGCAGCCCGCAGGCGCCCACGGGCAGCGCCACCAGGGCCAGGGCCACGGCCGTGCACGTGAGGGCCCGGGCGGCCTCCAGCACGGGCGGCAGGGCCAGCAGCGAGCTGTAGGGCTTGCACTGCAGCGTGGCCCACGCCTGCCGCACGCAGCTCATCCACAGCCCCTCCCAGATCCTCTCCAGGACCACGATGTTGCTGCCCACGAAGGCAGACACGCGCCACTGAGGCAGCAGCGTGGTGGCCAGCGCCCCGGCCAGGCCCAGCACGCCCAGCGCCAGCCCCGCCACCTGCAGCGGGTAGACGGCCATGGCCCGGCGGGAGGCGTCCGACGCGGCAGTCAGTGGCGATCCCAGAGGCACGTCCTGGCCGGGGTGGCTCAGCGGGTAGCACGAGGCCAGCAGACGGAAGGGATCCGGGTTCGAGGCCGGTCAAGGGCACGTACCTGGTCAGGGTGCGTGCAGGAGGCAAGCCAGTCCAGGTGTTACTCTCCCACGAAGTTTCTCTGTCTCTCCCTCCCTCTCTCTCCCGCTGTCTCTAAAAATCAACAGAAAGGTCCTCAAGGGAGGATCAAGCAAACAAGACAGGTCCTGGAGGTGCAGGTCTCGTCTACCCGAGTCTCGGGAGCGTTTCCACGGCGACTCCGGGTCCCATGGAGGACCTGCTGGGGGTGCCGCCTCAGCCCCGGCGCCGTGTCTGCGGAGGTCTGCTGGCCAGAGAGAGGCGGCCGGCAGGAGGGAGCGAGGCGTGTCCGCTCTCTGATGGCCTCGGCGGCAGTGGCTCCGGTCCAGGGAGCCCGGTGGAATGTTAATGACGAGCCGTGAACTTCCTGCCGGGACCTCTCCCCGGGGAGGCACAGAGCCCGGCTAATCCCGGGGAGACTCGCCGACGCCCGAGGTTCCGAGTGCTTTGTTGTTGTTTCTCTCCTCTGGCCGGTTCTTTGGGGGAGGACAAGACGCTGTGACTCCGGAGGATCCCAGAGGCTAAGCCGTCTTTCCTTCCCGCTGTCCGTCCGTCCGTCCGTCCCTCCTGGCAGAACCCGGGTACCGGGCGTGGGGGGTGTGAGGGTCAGGACGCCTGAGAAAACTAGTGATGGTTCCCCGAGACCCAGGAAGGAGGCGCCGAGAGGAGCCTGTTAATGTAATTGGCCGGTAATTATCATATTATCTCTGAAGCAACACCCTCCTGGCTGGCGGAATGCCGGCTGGCCCATAAACTTTCATTGCATGTTTTTTCTTTCTTTCTTTTTTAAAATATATTTTATTGATTTTTTACAGAGAGGAAGGGAGAGGGATAGAGAGCTAGAAACATCAATGAGAGAGGAACATCGATGATCTGCCTCCTGCACACCCCCACAGGAAATGTGCCCACAACCAATGTACACGCCCTTGACCAGAATCGAACTCAGGACCCTCCAGTCCGCAGGTCAACGCTCCATCCACTGAGCCACACCAGTTTCGGCTCATTGCGTGTGTTTCCAGTGGCAGCTTGAAACGCAGCTCGTTTATCAAAGCGAAACACTCTCCTGTTCCCACGAAACAGCATGAAAAGTGTCCTTCGGACTAAGCGGGGCCGCGGGTTAAATTCAGAGGAACCTTTTCAGGGGCGAGAGTCACCTGCCAAGATCGGACCACATGCAGGCGCGGCGAGGCCAGCTCTGCGGTGCCGATCAGGAACACGCCCACCTCAGACCTACTAAGCGCGTGTTCACCTACTAAGCGCGTCTTCCGTCCAGGCCGAGTCAACAACAGGAGGGAGAAAGGCTTTCTCAGGCCTTTTCCTCCGGAGGGATGAAACCAGAACTCGAACGCCACCCCTCTGTCCTTTCCCAAATAGTTTTCAAAGCAAGAGAACTTCAATCGAGGCTGTTTCAAAGCTCAGGGGAACATTGTCATCTTGGACCCCCCTCCACCCACTCCCTAGAGCCAGGGGGCCAGGGGAGGGGCTTGGTGTGGGGAGAGACCTTCCCCCTTTTCCTTTTGTGTCCTCGGGGGAGGATCAACCAAATGGATGCAAGGAATCCATTTAAAGGATGGAAACTCCGCAGCACGCGGGCTCCTGCAGGGAGACCCTCCCTGCAAAGCCTTCATTTGAATCAACCCGCCAACCGCTGGCGTGTGACCAGTACCACTGGGCATTTCTGTAGGATGCAACCCTCTCAATCTCTCTATATAAAAGGCTAATACGCCGAAACTGGTGTGGCTCAGTGGTAGAGCGTCGGTCTGCAGACTGAAGGGTCCTGGGTTCGATTCCGGTCAGGGGCATGTACCTTGGTTGCGGGCACATCCCTGGTACGGGGTGTGCAAGAGGCAGCTCATAGATGATTCTCTCTCATCGATGTTTCTAACTCTCTATCTCTCTCTCTTCCTCTCTGTAAAAAATCAATAAAATATATTTTTTTAAAAAAGGCTAATACGCTAGGTGTCCAGCCGTCTAACCAGTCGCTATGATGCGCACCGACCTCCAGGGGGCAGATGCTCAACGCAAGAGCAGCCGGACTCGGGCACTGACGCAGCTCGTGGCTCAGGCCCACTTGTTGGCTCTGTGCAGTGTCCCTGCTCTGTGCCCAGACCCCGCCCGGGCACCGTGACCTTCAGCTCAGGTTCCTGGGGCTCCTGGTGGCTGTGGCCTTCCCCCGGTGTTCCCTCACTCAGTGACCTTGACTCCGAGGGGCACACGGCTCAGGGGGTCGGCCCTCCTTGTACCAGGACTGCCTCGGTTTCCCTGCCGACCCCCGGAGGTGTTTCTCACCGAGAGGCGCCCTCAGTTACCACAGGCCCCTTGAGGGGGGGGGGTCCCTGCACAGCCCCCTCGGGGACGGAGGGCCCTCAGGCATCCGTGGAACCCTCCCACGGGCCCACGCCATCCCCATTGGCGTGGTCGGGGTGTGAACGCTCATTCCTGCTTCCAGCTGGGAGCTGAGACACCGGTTTGGGCCTGGGGACCTCCGTCCCCTCCCACGACCGTCTGCTCTGCTGCCGAACGCGCACCACAGCCGCCCTCTCCCCGCCGCACAAACGGGGTTCTGAGACGCAGCCTCAGGCCCCGGCGCCCCTGACCTCACTTCCCGGCAGCACACCTGCCTGTGCTGAGCCTGGGTAACGCCACGGAGACAGCTCCGTTAGTGTGAAGATGCGTGATTTCTCTCCGCACGGCGCGTCCCAGCCGGCAGCCCGTTCTAACCCACTGCACGTGGCGGGGACTGCCTCTCCCCGGCTCCAGGCGGGCACGGAACCCTGCCACAGCCCTTCCCCTCCCCTGCCCTCTACGCCCTGTTTTCATTCTTTGTTGTAGAAAGAGGTCCAGGTGTCCCCTCCCTGCTGACCCTTCCTGCCCTCCTCCGTGGGACACAGCCGAGGTGGGGACACGGGCTGGCGCCCTCCCAGGCGTGTCACAGGCGTGCCCCAGGAACCAGTCCCAGGCATGTCAGTGTCACAGGAAGAGAGTCCTGTGTTGTTTGTGGGAAGAAAAGGAGAGACACCTGTGCCCGCCCCGTCTCAGGCAGACAAAGCCATGGAGGCCCCTTCCCTTTATGAGGGGACCCCCGGGGGAGGAAGAGGCTGTTAATGAGGACAGATCATCACCTGGCCCACCTGGCCGGGAACAAAGGCACCTGCAGCACGCCCCAGGGCAGGAGGGGGAGGGGGAGGAGGAGAGGAGAAGGAGAGGAGGAAGGAGAGGAGGAAAGAGGAGGGGGGAGAGGAGGGAGAAGGGGGAACAGGTGCAGGCATTGGGGTGGGAAAGTAGCTCTCTTTTTTAAAATTTCTTTATTGATTAAAGTATTACACGTGTCCTATTCCCCCATTGCCCCCCCCCCCCCCGCTTATGTCTCCCCCCCCCCCCATTGTCTGTGTCCATTGATTAGGCTCATAGGCTCCATTCCCACTGCTTTGTCCCTCTGAGCTGTCCTGCTTTTGTGCGGGTGCTGGCAGTCTGCTCTGCATCCCGACTCGGACATGATGACACAGACGTGTGTGTACGCGTACTGATCTCAGAGAGGGAGGGAGAAGCATCCATGAGAGAGGGTCGTGGATCTGCTGCCTCCTGCACGCCCCACACTGAGGATGAGCCCCAACTGGGCCTGTGCCCCGACCAGGAATCGAACCCAGGACCCTTCAGTCTGGAGATGGACGTTCTGTCCACTGAGCCACACAGCTAAGGCCAAGCCGGCCGTTAATCGGTGAGGGCCCCCTCCGTCCGGGTCCAGGTCCGGGGAGACGGGCTGAGGGCAGGCGTGTGCCCCGGCTGCCGCCCGCGGACGGAGGCCGGATGTGTTGATGTTTCTGTGTGTCTGTGTTTATCCGGTGTGTTCATGGGGTGCCGTTGGCTGATGCAGCCAGGCCGGCTGCAGGTGCTCGGCCGTGACATCACCGTGCCCGTGCGTGTCCCGCCGGCACCGTGCCTGTGCTGAACCCGCGGAGCCGCCGGCCCCTGCACAGACAGGACGGCGACCAGTGCCCGAGGCGGCGTGTCCTGGCTCAGCCAGCCCCTCAGGCTCCGGGGGCCGCTGGGGCCCCTCAACTCCTCATGGGGAGTCCTCGCCCCGCGGAGCAGGAGGCCCGGGCGGCCTGGACCTGGGGGGCGGCTGAGGCCGTGGTTTGGGGCTCACAGAGCGGCTGTTTGTCCTTTAGGCCCCGTGGCAGCCGTGGCATCGTTCGCCCGTGGCCGCGCTCACGTGGGCAGCCTGTCCTGCGCTGCGTCTGTCGGCCAGGACACGTGTGCAGGCAGCGCCCGCTACACCCCTCAGGACGGTCCCGTTCGGCCACGGATGAAGCCGGTGCTGGTGTCAAAGCAATGTTCTCGTTGATTTCAGAGACGGTTGGAGAGAGAGGGAGAGGGAGAGGGAGAGGGAGAGGGAGAGGGAGAGGGAGAGGGAGAGGGAGAGGGAGAGGGAGAGGGAGAGGGAGAGGGAGAGGGAGAGGGAGAGGGAGAGGGAGAGGGAGAGGGAGAGGGAGAGGGAGAGGGAGAGGGAGAGGGAGAGGGAGAGGGAGAGGGAGAGGGAGAGGGAGAGGGAGAGAATGTCCATGATAAGAGGGAATCATGGATCGGCTGCCTCCTGCACGCCCCCCACTGGGATGGAGCCAGCAACCTGGGCCTGTGCCCTGACCGGGAATCGAACCCTGGTTCCTAGACCAACACTCACCCCCTGAGCCACGCCGGCCAGGTTAGAATCTGTTCTTAAGGCATTCCCGTTTTTTCCTTTTTGTTCTGTCCGTCTTTACCGGAGGATGTTTTCCCCTTGATTTCCAGGGAGAGGGGAAGAGAGAGAGAAGCATCGTGAGAGAGAAACACACCGAGTGGTTGCCTCCCA